TGCTCTCTGTTTATATACAGTAGCTTGCCCTGTCAGTGTTGGTGGGGGTGTTGTTTTCTTTTTGGTAGTTCCTTGATTAGGCTGTTTACTGCTTGATTGTCTGAGTTGGTAATTCCTTGATTAGTGTATTGTTTACTGCTTGTTTGTGTTAATCCTGGTGTTCATCTCTGCTTATCTGGGTGTTGATGGCTGGCGAGGAGGTGTTCCGGTCTTTTTGTTTCCTTTGTATTGCCTCTTTTGAATGGTGTGTAGATGTTGTTTATCTCTGTGTGCCTGCTGATGGCTGTTGGTTGTGCTGTAGTAGGTTGAGTGGTCAGGCACTTTTTGACAGAGATAAATAACAGTCTCCTACATGCCTGCTTGCTACCAGATGGGACCATCATTCTTGATCTCCTCTGCCCATCCTAGCTTTGGTCAATCAAGGTTGATAAAAGCTCTTTATATTAGAAATGTCAGATTATCACAATAAAAAGCCTTTCAAAGCAGTCCTTGATGGAGAGCCCTGTGGAAGAGGTTGTTCATTTGTATTCTTCAGCCTTTCCCAATCCAGGACCTTCCCAGATGTGAGTTGGGGCACTCTGGAAGTTCACAGCTGGAGAGCAAAGATTGGGGAAGGCTGTGCAGTTGCCTTGGAACTTTGAACCACCCAATTATGGACCTCGCTCAGGACAGGACCTCGGGGATTTTAGAGGGTTCACTGGGAGCATCGACTTCCAGAGCCACAGCTGTTGAGCTATGTATGTTGACATTCAAAATGCACTAAAATAATACTTTTTCTGCATTCCCAAGGTGCTCTCCCTGATTTTGGAGGTGCTCTCGGTATTGAGGAAGCATCTAATGTTTTAAGAGTACCTCATGCGTTGTAGGAGGCTCTGTATCTGCATTATGCATCGCTAATACGCTAGTAGAGGCGGGAAGCTCCTCAGCCTTTCGTTTTATCTAGCTCCCGCCGCTCTTGCATTACTCCTCCCCGCCTTTATCTTCCCTTCCCCTCCTCCCCGCCTAGTCAGAGCGTTGCCCCTCCCCCCTCCAGGGTGCCTCTCTTCCATCCCTCAATGGCGGTTGGCGCATGCGCAGTGCCGGGAGGCGGCCCGGGCCATGGCGGCCGTTTAAAGGTAACCGATTTAGCAGAAAGGGGGCCCCGGGTTTTTTCACCGAAATCCCCCTTCCCCCCGCCCCCCCCTTGTCCGGGGGTGG